TCTGTAACCCATGATGGACTGATAGATTGATCTATTATCTAACTTGTACAAATTATAATGTGTATACATCGAATGAAACTCACATTTTACAGTAGGGGTGAGAGGGGCTGCTTCCTCTCTCCAGTCCCCAGATGCTTCCTCGGGCCTCATCCCAATGCCTAATATGTCCTAACATGATGTAGCACCCCGGCCTAGAAATAAGACAGATCCTTAGCGAGTAGCATGTGCGGAGGACGTGCGTGCCATTCTCACAGGCATGTCAGAGTAAAAATGATGACAATAGTGATGATAGCCATGAGGAGATAAAGCACCTCAGCTCTACCACGTTCCCACCCCTATTAATTCATTCATTTCGGCCAACAATTCTTGCGGTAAGATGTGCTGCTATTTCCATTTCGTACATGAGGAAACCGAGGCATACTCTTACAAATAGGGTGACATCCATATGGCACTGTATGGTCTTGACAATCAGACCGATCATTTCAGTGGGGAAAACGGCTCCATTGCTCTGAGAAGTATCAATCAGCCCCTTCTTCTGCCTCTGCCAGCATGAGCAGCCAAGAAGGTCTGTGCAGGCCCATGTCACAGAATCCAGACAGGAAGCAGGCAGAGCCTGGCTCCTTCCTTCACAGGGGGTGGGACCCCAAGAGCCTCAGTCCCCATCTGCACAATGGGGGTAATTATAGTACTGAGTCCATAGAGTTATAAGGATTATAAGAAGTAATATACACTAGGTCCTGCATGCAGTGGGTACCAATAAGTGGCTCCTATTTATTTATTCTTTCACTGGCCATCAAGTAGTGGGTTTCTGTGATTTTACGAAGCAAGCAAAAGTTCTGATTTTGCCTACTTACGAGGCAACCACACCTACAGAGGTCTTGGCATGTATAGGGCCTATCCTATGATGCTTCTGTAATTCTCTCTGATATAGTTGGCTATGAATAACAAGCATTCTGTTGATTTAGTGAAAATTTAATTAAGTTCATTAAATTGTCATTTGGGTTTGATTTTTGGCCTGATACATAGACCCTGGGGGTACACAACAGAAAAGGAGAATGTATATTCAGGATATGTTTACAGTTTCAGTGCCCAAGATGATTCTCTTGTATTTATTTGGTTAGAATTCACCGTTGGCCTCACTTGAATTTTAAACAACCATGATTTTCAAAACGAGACTTTGTTGCATGGATTCTGAGTAAATATGGTCCATTTGATAGTTCACACCCAATCACGAAACAAACCCTTCTTAATTTTTTGTGTCAATTCACTATGTGTTTAATGGGTTTACAGCAATAAAATGAGATGCCAGGGAAATTGGGAAAAAATGAAAGATTCTGGCCAGGCGTGGTGGCTCATGCCTGTAATCTCAGCACTTTGGGAGGCAGAGGCGAGAGGATTGCCTGAGTCCAGAGGTTTGAGACCAGCCTGGATTTATTGGTGAGACCTCATCTCTACAATAAATCAAAAAATTAGGTGGGCGTGGTGGTGCATGCCTGTGGTTCCAGCTACTTGGAAGGCTGAGGTAGAAGAATCGCCTGAGCCCAGCAGGTCGAAATTGAGGTGACTATGAGTGTGCCACAGCACTCCAGCCTGGGCAGTAGAATGAGACTCCTACACAAAAAAAAGAAAAAGAAAAAAAAAAAAAGAAAAATTCCTGTCTTTGCTCAGTTGAAGAGAAAAAGAAAGAAACACAAACATACAGAGACTACTGGAAAATAAATTGTGTAAGTAAAGAGTATATTATGATGTTGTCCAGAATGCCTAGAGGATACACAGAGAGAACAGAATGAAATACTTAGCTCTGAGAGCCTTGAGAAAAATGTCAAAAGATGAACAAGATTGCCCAAGGATAACAATGGTGACGGTTAGGACTGCCAATTATAGAGCTCTTTCTACATGCCAGGGACTGTGCTACGTCTTTTACATAGGATTAGCATCTTAAGAGGTCATTTGTTTTCTAATTCTCCTTTCTTTTTCTTTCTTTCTTTTTTTTTTTTTTTTTGAGTTGGAGTCTCACTCTGTCGCCCAGGCTGGAGTGCAGTAGCATGCAACTCACGGCCACCACAGCCTCGACCTGCTGGGCTCAGGCGATCCTTCAGCCTCAGTCTTCCAAGTAGCTGGAACTACAGGCACACGCTAACCACACCCGACTAATGTTTTGATTTACTGTAGAGATGAGGTCTCACCAAGTTGCTCAAGCTGGTCTTGAACCCGTGGGCTCAGGCAATCCTCTCATCTCGGCCTCCCAAAGTGCTAGGATTATAGGCGTGAGCCACCATGCCCAGCCAATTCTCCTCTCACAGATGAAGAAACTGGGGCTATCAGAGATTAAGGAATTGCCCAAGATTACACAACTAATGAGGTGCAGAGTTGGGATTTAGGCCGGAGTCTGCCTGACTCCACCATGTGTAGAGAAAAAGCAGTACCTCTGTGAGATAGGAACATCACGATTCTCGGTGGCAGAAAGGTCAGAGAGTAAACAGAGAAACCAGCTCTAGAACAGAGGGGCACTGAGTGTAATAGGAGAAGGGGAGGAAGAAAGTGCCGGCCCCAGTGAGTTGAAGGCTCACCCGGAGTGTAGGCCTGACTAACAGAGACCCTCTCGGGTAGAATAAAGGGATGAAGCACATTGTAGGTTAATAACACCTGCAGCTGTGGGAACAAGTAACTAGAGGGTAGAGAAACTCATCTACTGAAGAGAGCCAGAAAGAAGTGCTCAGGCGAGGCATGACAATGGCCCAGTCCAAAAGACCCTGTGTCAAAGAAACTGGCTTCTCACTTGCAGTGTTCTGGTATCTATGTGCTGAAACAGCTTGTTCAGAGCCAAGAGGTCAGTCTCAGATTTCCATTTCTGCCCTCAGACCTCTGAAAATAAAATGATTGGAAGAGGGGTTTCATCTTCTGGTTGACAGTGGCACTAATGATTCTTTCCATGATGTGCAAACAAGCACATTCCTGGCAATGCCATCTGAGGGACTTTTGTGTCTTCCCGTGTCTGCGAGTTACGCCACATCCTGTCACGTTGCCTTCTGCCAGTTCACAAAGTTATGTGTTCTTTCTTCTTTGGTGATACATATTGTTTCTCTCTCATGAGAAAATAGTATTATATTTTATGTATGGTCATCTGAATGAAACTAGCTTAAAATAAATAAATACATTAGAGTTTATACCAGGCACACACACACACAAAATGACACTGCTGCATCCTGGCAGCCTTGCATCCCTCTTTTCTTGGTTTCTGTGGTGGTGCAATCTATTTATGTTCCTATGCTCATCCCAGCCCACTAGACTAAAACAGGGTGCTTGCCTCCACCTGGTGTGATTGTTCCGTCAGTCTGCTGGTTGTGAGGCACTGTTCTCTCTGCTCAAAGAGCCACTCACGGAGAAACTGTGGCAAGTCCCAGACACCGACACAGACAAAGCTCCTAGGATCCCATAAAATGCTTATAATACACAAACTGTTTTATCTTTATATTGTATCTAATGTCAAGTGGAAAATAGTTTTAGAAGAGCTCATCTTCATTCAGTGCTTCTTCCTGTCTAGAGTTGAAACAGCCGGTTGGAGCATGTGTTTCTCATTCCTGATTGTGACAACCCTGAGAGTCAGCAGGGGAAACCTGTGCTCTTGGCTCATGGACATGCCATTAGCCACTTGGAAATAGTATATTCTCTTTTGTTCATCTTTATTTTAGATTCAGGGGTTCACATGCATGTTCGCTACATGGACATATTGCATAGTGGTGGAGACTGGGTCTCAAGTGGCCCATTCCCAATCGTGCCCTGTAGAGTTTCTGAACTCAACCCACCTACCAACCTCCCCCCGAATTGGTGCCCCCAGCCTCTATTATTTCCATCTCTGTGACCATTTAGCTCTCACAAGGGAAGAGTATATTCTTTTTTTTTTTTGAGTTGGAGTCTCACTCGGTCGCCCAGACTGGAGTGCAGTGGCCGCTCCCGGCCACCGCAGCCTCGACCTGCCGGGCTCCGGCGATCCTTCCGCCTCAGCCTTCCGAGTAGCCGGAATTACAGGCATGCGCTACCACGCCCGGCTGATTTTTTGATTTATTGTAGAGATGAGGTCTCACTGCCCAGGCGGGTCTCGAACCCATGGGCTCAGGCAATCCACTCACCTCAGCCTCCCAAAGGTGCGGGATTACAGGCTGAGCCACCGAGCCCGGCGGGAAGAGTATATTCTTTAACAGAAATTTCTTTAATAGACTTCATAGCCAGACTGCTCTATGAGAATGGGATATCCAGAGTCACATGTCAAACCTCAGAACAGAGCTTTGGAAATGTGGGATGAGGATGGGTGGAAATCTACCCATAGAGTACACTTCTAGAAACATCTATGAGGGGGTTGGTCCTGTTTCCTGTGAACAATGGCTGCCTTGTAATCAAATCAAACACTGCAAAGCCAGAGGCCACTGATGTTATCATTCAGAAAGTGTCTTTCACGAGGGCAGGACAGTGCTGGAGACGAGGCAGTGCCCTGGGTCTCTGGGGAGAGGGGAATCTCATTCCCGCGGTAGCTCACCTTGGACTCCTCAAAATGCACTTGCCACCCACTGTCCCATGTCGCCATCCCGGAAGCCCTTCCCAGAGAAGATGGGTGCGTGGCCATTTTTCCAGAGGGGGTGCAGGCTCAGCACCATTAGATGCCCCGTCTACTGCCAAGGGGACACCAAAGTGGTGAGGACACCCTATTTCCCATCCTACCTGCTATCTTGCCATCGTGATGCTAGGCCACCTCCTGGAAAGTTGTGTAACACCATGTCCAAGTGGCAGTGTTGAATGCCACAGGGTGGGTGTGTGTGTGTGTGTGTGTGTGTGTGTGTGTGTCTGTGTCTGTGTGTGTGGTGTCTGTGTGTGTGGTGGGTGTGTTCTCCTGTTCCCTCTCCCGGTGGGTGCACATGGCTGTGGGGTGGCAGTAGCCTACGTGGAAAGCAGCTCTCCTCTTTGACAAGTGAGCCTAATGCTCCCGTGACTCTTTCCATTTCTAGAAAATGAAGTGCTGGCCCCAGCCCCGCCCCCGGAAGGTAAGTGAGAGCACTCCCCCGACTTGTTTGGGCTGCAAATACAGAACGTTCACCCAGCATGATCCAGCCCCTCTGCCGCTGTGAGCTTTACTAACTCATCCTGAGAAGTGAGATGGTGACAGTCGTGATAAGTTTATAATAAGCCATTGTGTTCATGAAACCCTCTCAAGTGAATCTAAGTTGGGTGGCACCTCATATACATTATAGGAAGGATGCTTATAAAACCTTTCAGTTTACACAAAAGTTGTTGCTATATCCACGTTTTCCAACATGGAAGCTGACCCTCTGTGAGGTGGAAGGATTGCAGGGCTTTTTCCCATATGATGAGGGTGAATTGAAGCCCATTTCTTCCTTGTGAGAATGGGGCGTGGATCCTTCCACCTCCCTGGAATATCGGCAGCCCCTTCCCGACTTGAGGTGTGTCACTAATCAAGCACCTCCAGAAACACCCCGGGGAGTTTCCAGAAAGGTTTGGCAGCCTTCAAGGCTGAACATGAGGACCAACTTCTTGAGTTCTCAGTACTGTGTTGTCCACCAGCTGGCGACAACAACAACCACAAAACAGGCAAATAAGTAAAGAGATCCAGTGAGACCCTGGGCAGCAGAGCAATCCCTGAAACACACATGTCCATGTACTAAGGAAGGTAACAGGATCAGAACACAGATCTGAGAAAGGGAGCAGGACCAGAACATACACCTGGGGAAGGGAACAGAATTGGAAGAATGACAAGCCCAAGTGCACTCACTGTTGGACTCCCAACATGGCTCTCCAGAATCATTGATCCGCCACCACCAAATAGTCCCCAATATGAAAGCAACTGAAATTATGTGTGTTTTCCCATGAAGACCCAAAATGGGAAGACCCCATCCTTGAGGAGGATGAGAAACTGGCACCCATTCAAGAGTTTTCAATGGGCACTTACTATGTGCATGATTCTTCCCAAATCTTCCAGGATATATGTCCTTATTGTACGTACCTCTTTTTTTTTTTTTTTGAGTTGGAGTCTCACTCTGTCACCCAGACTGGCGTGAAGTGGCCGCTCCCGGCCACTGCAGCCTCGACCTGCTGGGCTCCGGCGATCCTTCCGCCTCAGCCTTCCAAGTAGCCGGAATTACAGGCGCACGCTACCACGCCCGGCTGATTTTTTGATTTATTGTAGAGATGAGGTCTCGCTGCCCAGGCGGGTCTCGAACCCGTGGGCTCAGGCAATCCACTCACCTCAGCCTCCCAAAGGCGCGGGATGACAGGCTGAGCCACCGAGCCCGGCTTGTACGTACCTCTTAGCACACACTTATTGATAACCCGGTGCAAACACACAATGAACCAGGCATCGTAGGGAATTCTACATAGGAAACATGTCCCTGTATTCGGTTTGTCTGCAGCCAAGAAGAAAATAAAAATACATCCTGGAGAACAATGAAATAAAATGCAACCATGACATTAAAATGTTAGGCAGTACTATAAGGGGTCTTCCAAGCAGTCTGTGAGTAAATGTGGGTGACTCGAACCGACAATATGTAACCAGAGAGTCACTGCAGACTGGCCCAGCCAAAGTGAAAACAGGAGTTGGACAAGACCTCAGTTTCTGATCATCTTTTCATAAAAGAATTTAGATGGGATTATACAGTTCTTCCTCACTGAAGATCGTCCTTCAGGAGGGCAGTAAAAGAAATCGAACTGCTCCCAGGAGACTTTAGTCTAGCGATGAACACTGGATTCACACACCCCAAACCCTCCATGGTATAGAGAATATTGCTGTGTGTCAAAATGAACGACATGGGTTCAGTGCCATGAGTTCAAATGGGGACAAGCTCATATTTAATTTTCTTTAAATCTTGATCTTGACCCCAGGGCAGATGTGTGACATTCCTCTTAGGATCTTCTTCTTCCTTGGCATGTTTTCTCCTTGCATGTACAGAGTTATTTTGCCCAGCATTGAGTACACTGAGCACGTACTGGTCGTTCCAGACAAACCTTTCCCTTCTGTTCTTCGGATCAGTCACTATCATTGGGCCACTCTAAAGTTTCCCTTTTTGTGCCACTTTTCATATTCATTGTACAGTATTGACCTCTGATTGCTAAAATGTCTCTTCCCAACCTCTGATAAAATTGTCCTTCTTAGTTAAGTTAGAGTTTAATCTCCATTCAACAGTCAAAAAAACAAAAAGAGAATTCATGCTTGAAATAATTATTTTCTTACATATACCATTGGCAGGTGACTAAACTAATATGATCCTGAACGCAGAGAAATGCAAGCCTGTTGGTCTCAAGTGATAGAATTTGGTGCTGCCGGCCTTGTTTTGCATTTGTTGTTGCTAAATCCAATCCAGAAGATTCACGTACACCAAAACATTTTATTGGAAACAACATACACTGCATACGATAATATATTTTATATCTTACTGTAGTATCATAGGTCAAATTCTTTAAAAAGTCAGTCCCTTGGTGGAGACCAAAGTGACCACATTTATACTCAGCATGTTACATAATACAATTCCAGTAGCGCTGAGTGGATTTTAACACAATCCGCATTGGGTGTTTTTATGTGTATGTTTCCAAAAATGATAAGATGTACTAATTGCTTTTATTACCCCATGGTTCATCACACAATAAAATGCTTTAAGACTCTTTTAAAAATGTGCTTGTACTTTCTACACAGAACCAACTAAAGAAAAGGAGGCCGGAACTAAACCAGCAAAAGGTGAGCTGGGGTGGGGGGTGACACCGAATGAACACAGAAGCAGAAAGAGGTCAGTGATGACTGCCACAGTGGCCCCATCGGATTTCTCTGCATTATTCTTTCATCGGAGTGGTGTAGAGTTCTTCTTTGCATCTTACCTGCCAGACCCAATCAGCATAATAACAAGTGGTGCTTTGCTAAGTTTCCATTACACACATTTCCAGAAGAAAAACAGCAATAATAGAAAGATCACAAACTCTTGTTGAGATGCCAGCAAATTAATGGGTATTTTCCAAGTTTCATCGTGAATGCTGAAAAGAAGAGGTGTTGGATTTTATTGGGATTTCATCAACTAGGAAAATTATCTGAATTACTCAGATTATTATTATTTTTTTTTTTGAGTTGGCATTGCACTTTGTTGCCCAGGCTGGAGTAGTGGCATGCTCACGGCCACCTCAGCGTTGACCTGCTGGGCTCCGGCAATCCTTCTGCTTCTGCCTTCCAAGTAGCCGAAACTACAGATGTGCGCTACCATGTCCAGCTAATTTTTGGTTTATTGTAGAGACAACGTCTCGCCAAGTTGCCCAGGTGGGTCTTGAACCCGCGGGCTCAGGCAATCCACTCGCCTCAGCCTCCCAAAGTGCTGGGATTACAGGTTGAACCACTGATCCCGGCCAGGATTTTTTTTTGATTGAAGGTTTCCATGTTACTGCCTGAACTGTTCCAGGCTTCACTAGTAGTTTTGAAAGCTAGCATCTCATTCAATAATACCGATGACATATTCATGCAGATTTATATAATGATTTGTGTAGATTGACAACACAGCCTTAAGCAAACATCAATATTGCTACTTGAATTGGAAACTTATTTACTTTTATTTTATTTTATTTTTATTTTAGTCGGAGTCTTATTCTGTTGCCCAGGCTGGGGTGCAGTGGCATGATCACTACTCACTGCAACCTCAACTTCCTGGGCTCAGGCGATCCTTCCACTTCCGCCTTGTGAGTAGCCAGGACTACAGGTGCATGCCATCAAGCCTGGATACTTTTAGTTTTTTTTTTTTTTGTAGAGATGATGTCTCACTATGTTCCCCAGGCTGGTCTTGAACTTCTGGGTTCAAGTGATCCTCCCACCTCGACCTCCTAAAGTGCTGGTATTACAAGCGTGTGCCACTGCGCCCAGCCTGGAAACTTATTTATTCCTGTAATTTTACTCTATTTTTACTTCATATGAAGACACTTCAGTTTTAGAAAATAAATTATCTTTTACCATACACTTCTGTTACTTCACAAAAGATTAATTTCTTTGTCTCACCATGGAGGAAACCATTTTCATTACTGACCATCCTTCTGAAGCTAAGGAGCATTAGGAAGTTTTCATGGAGAAGTATTTGACAATTTTGCTTTGTGTGTTTGTATCATCATCTTTATAAGTTAACCTTTTGTTTATGTCATGATTAACATGGTTTAAATTTTGGAATAACTATTTCTTGCTTGCACAAGAAGTTTCTCTTTTTTCCAGGACACTACTCAAAGCATGTTCAGTATCTCTTTGTGCTTAGTATGTCTTATTTTATTACCTAATTTCTATGATACTCTTGTCTCCTATACATTAGTAAATTACTATTTTTATTTCTTTTAGTACAGAGGATGACATTTCTTCAGCTAGCTTGAATTTACACTCTCATAATGAACACATAATGTTAGTACACTCACTTTGTCCTTGACCTTCAGTGGCTCCCATGGATAGTAACAAGAATACTAATCCTGGCCACATGGGCCACAGTTTTTGAAGGTTATTTGCTATGGAATGCAGACAGTGCAAACTCCTAGAACTCCTTCCACGAGACATGTTCAAGGAGGTTTGGACATCCTGGCTGAAGTTATTGTAACATTATTCTCTACAAGGCCAATGGCATACATCTCTGTTTCCAAAATTGGAAAGGTGCTTGGACCAGGCTGTAAGGTTCGGCCAACAGAGCAGATGATGTAACCCCAGAGGGCAAGCCGTTAAAGTTTAAACAAAGCCTGTGCCTGACCCTTAATTTGAAAATCATCATATTATAGTTGTGTTCTTAAATGAGAAAGTGCCTTTCCTTGAAGTCAACCAATCATCCAACCAACGAACAAAAGCCCTTTTCTTTTTGAAAAACACAGTATGACAAAGGAGCAAGGCCAGAGGTCTAGGGCATCCTGAAACTAGTAGCATTTCCCTGATTTATGCAAAAGATAGTTAAGACCATAGCCACGTGCAGTCGCATGCCCAGGTACATAAACTGCTATATACACATATACACACACAAACATACAAATGCTATATATACATATACATGCACATGTACACACACACACACACACACACACACACACACACACACACACACACACACACACACACATTTGCCCTACATGCCTAGGAAGCAAATCAATTTAGGACAGAAAAAGGCATCTCTAAATAAAGCAGGTAAGTGGATGGAAGTTTTTTCTAAATATACAGTCGTCTTCAACTATTACCCACTTTCATCAAGGACAGAGAAATTTCAAAGAAAATACTTCAGCAAAGGGTAGACACAATCATTATTGCTGCATGTCTATCCCTGGTTGAGAAGGAAGCCCCACATGGGCATGTATGGGCGTGACAGGGGCAACCTACCTTTTCTCCAACATAACTGGAATGTCCCCACCCTGCTTCTTTCTCTGACTCTCAGTTCATCGTATTCTTTTGTCTTAACCAATCAACTCAGGTGTCACTCTTCTGTATGGCTGCCCCCAACCTTCCTGGCTTGCTGTCATCTCCCTTCCCTCCTCCTGTTTTCTCTTGGACCTATTGCCTCCTTCATTCACTCTTGTCTCCACTTAATCGCTTTTCATGGGTGACTCCTTTCTCTGAGTGGCTGTAAGCTTTTTGATGCTAGGACACCATGTCTTAACACTTCTTTGGTTTCCTTATCTAGTTTCCTACAGCATCTGGCAAGAGTTGCACATGGAGATTGTCTAAGAAATACTTGCAGAATGAATGAGCAATTGAATTTCCATGCTGGCTTAGCTATTGACTATCCAGACAATGGAAATCTGGGTAGATATTTCTTTCCATTCAATATGTTTGCCAGGTAGCGGGATGAACATCCTATGCACATTCTTACACTACGAGGATTCAGAGTTCATTGCCGCCACAGAAAAGACAGTTTCTTCTGTAAGATCAATTTGGCTAGAGCTATTGAAAGGGGTTGTGATTTTAGTACATTTTCAACACTTTAGTCTTGTATCTAATTATTAATAGTTGGCATATATTCAGTTAATAGCTCTAAGGTTATCATTATTAAGAATATTATTAATGACAAGACAGCCTTCACATTGTTCCCAGAGTGACTGTGAAGCTCAGAAGAGTTCTAAAAAACTTTTGTAACCACAGAAAGTTGTTTGGTTTTGATATCAACTTTATAAGCAGTGTTTGTGGTTAGATTTGCTAATGTTTTCAGATTTACTAGGAGTCTCTGTCTGGGCAAGAGTGATTTCCCAGGAAGGGATTTCACTATTGTTTGCTGGCTTGTTTGTTTGCTCTGGACTTGCTGTCCACCCAGGTATCCTGTTCCCTAATACTGACTGCTTTGTCCTGGAACTGGGCAAAGTCTCCTGGACGTGACACAATAGAGATGACTATCAAGAAATGTGTTTAACCATAAATTAGATGTGCAAATCCCTCTCAGAGTGATCATACCAGAGGCAATGCCCTTGTAAAACAATGCTGCCATGGCCTAGGATTCTCCCAGAATAATTATAGGTGGCAAATCATGGGATGCTGAGTCAGGAAGGAGTTCTTTCTGTATCCTCCGTGGGGCTGGAGAGCTGCCTATTCTAGCATTCATGTATTTGACAAGTATTTACTGAGTGTCAGCTCCATGCCAGGCATGGATCTGGGCATGGATTTGCCCTCCTGGAGCCAACTTATGCTGTAGGGGGAAAGGACAGCCATCAACAGAGGAAGGTAGACTTCAGTTTGGGAAGCAGATGTGAGTCACGGAGGGCCACATGTAGAGAATAACGTAGGTGACAAGCGGGATTGTACTTCTTTTTGGTCAAGAACATCTGAAAGCCTGTGTGTGAACATGGGGTGATGAGAATGGGCTTCTTCTGTGCCTGGACAACTGGCCCTGTGGGAGGCCCCCGGACTGGTACTATGGCATGTCCCAAATATGGCAGCAGCATTAGACTCAGGCACCACTTTGAAGATTATACTAACTTTGATGTCTACATTCTGATATCTTATTTTTACATGTTATTAGCTTAGCCTGTATATTTCTGGGTAAGCACAGTTGGGACAGTTGGTGCCTCTTTTTATTTTTGTTTTGTTTTGAGTTGGGGTCTCACTGTGTTGTCCAGGCTGGAGTACAGTGGCATGATCACGGCTCCCCACTACTTCCAACTCCTGGATTCAGATAATGCTTCCACATTAGCCTCCCAAGTAGCTGCACCTACAGGTGCACACCACCACCATTGACTTATAAACATTTTCTTATAGGGATGAGGTCTCAATACATTGCATCTCGAACTCCTGGGCTCAAGCAATCCTTCTGCCTTGACCTCCCAAAATGCTGGGATTATGGATGCGAGCCACTGTACCTGGCCCCCTTTTTATTTTTCTTCCAGAAAAATAACTACTTTTGATCATTGCTGTAAAAGAAATAAAACTAATTTTCTTTTCCCAGGCATTCACATGACCACATAAACTAGCATGAGTGAACTCTGTGTGCATTAAATATCTCACATCATCTGAGATGAAGTCTTCCTTTTGCATGAATGAAGTTGGCAGATGAGGAAGTCAAGCAGCAGAAGTTCCAACATGTTTTGTCCTAAATAATGTGATTTTTTAAATTAAAAGGATGATTCATTTTTTTTCGCCTAGGTTCTTTTACATCTGCAGCAACATTATCCCGATGGTGTTCCCAGTCTGCTAAAATATGTTTGTGCAATTTACCTTCAGGTGTCAATCAACCATCCACTAAAATGCTTCTGTGCTTTCTCTATATATTCTAATTACATTTGTGCTTTGTAATGAACCTTGTTAAAAATGAATACCATTGTACTTTTCAATTCTAAGACACAGTAATTATAAGATGCGACACTGATTTAATAGATTTAGGGGAGAAAAAACTCATTAAATATACATATTTATTGAAAGCTTAATTCTGATTTCCTGAGCATCTAAGTGTGAAGGTATGTATCTTCCAATTATAAAAATAAGTCAATCAGATGCTCAAAACAAAATGAATTGCTAGTTGTTGTTTTCTTTTTTTTTTTTTTTTTTTGAGTTGGAGTCTCACTCTGTCACCCAGACTGGAGGGCAGTGGCATGCTCCTGGCCACCGCAGCCTCGACCTGCTGGGCTCCGGCAGTCCTTCCGCCTCAGCCTTCCAAGGAGCTGGAACTACAGGCATGTGCTACCACACCCGGCTAATTTTTTTTTAATTTTATTGTAGAGATGAGGTCTCGCCAAGTTGCCCAGGCGGGTCTCGAACCCGCGGGCTCAGGCAATCCACTCACCTCAGCCTCCCAAAGCGCTGGGATTACAGGCTGAGCCACCGAGCCTGGTGTAGTTGTTGTTTTCTTCCATATTTTATCGTTAGTTTGATTACATCCACCAACATTTACAACTGATTACCCTGCTTGAGGAATTTGTGAATTTGTCTAAATCAAACAAGGTATTATACCAGTGTTTAACTGATGTTTGTTTATAAGTCACAAATATGTTTTAATTTTATATTATTTTGGCCTTTATTCTAAAATCCCAACAATTGCCACAAGTTTGTATTACTTACAAACTTAATTTAAAAAGGCAACTTGAAATCAACCATAGGTAGAAGCTATTTTACAGCCAGGAGATTTAGGGTAGTTATAAGAATGTGCACATGCTACTGTCCCTGGAGTTCTTGTACTCAGCAACAAGCCCCTTGCCGCATTCCAGAGTATTTATGTGCACTCTAAAATCCCAGGCTTGTTATATGAGACCATGTTCTTTTTCTACTTTCCAGTCCCTCTCTGGGAACTTCAGTTGTTTAGAGAATCATTTTTACAGTTTTACAAATGCTGTTTTTCCATGATTTACAGATGATCAAATTCTGCTTTGGAAAATTGCCTTTCCATGTAGTTAGAGAGATAGTCCAACCACTCCGAGCCTGTGATCTACACTAATGTCAATATTCTAATGAGCCCAAATCAGATGTTTGCATTTGCATCATCATCATAATTACTTTTAAATAGAAAAAGGAAAATATGACTTACAGATTGCATTTTTTGTTTTGTCTTATAATTTTTTTTTTTTTTTAAGAATGCATGTGTCATTTCTGGTTGTGTCCAATTCAATAACACAACCAGGAAAATTTGGATATTCAACTTCCCTCCAGCAATAGAACCTGGTTTCCATGGCAAATAAGAACAATTAAACGTTTCAGTCTCGAACATTCAATTCAACCAAATGTAACCAGGCAACTTCTCGAGATTTTAAGGTCAGAATCCCAACATTTTAACTACATTTCCTGCATTCCTACATTCTTTATAGAATGCCAGGAGCAAAGCTGCTTTTAAAAGAAGGAAAACATTAAACTTTGCTTCTGTCAATTATATTTCCAGGGCTTATCATAACTTTGAAAAGTGATGCTGAGTCATCTAGAGGAGCAATATTTCATGATACCCCAAGCATTCTTTAATATGTGTTCCTTCATAGTCTAAAATAATTGTGCTTGTCCTTCAAACAGTCTTAATATTTGGTAGACGCTGGAACTACTCATCCATCAAACTTTTTCTTAAAAAAGATTATCGTTCTTCATTTTACTTATATGAAAGCAGGATGTAAATACTCTTTCCTCAATCATTCTGCACACTAACCAATTAACTCAAGGCTTCATTATGCACAAAGAAACAAAAAATAAACACCACAAAGCCTAAAGTATTTATTTGACTCAAAATGGCTCTGGTTTCTAGTTGACATGTAATAAAGGAAGTTCCTTTCTAGGATTTGAATTTTAGAACTTCATTTTCACTAATTTTTACAGGACTTGAAATCAAGATTTGTATATATTTTGGTAAATTCTTTTATATTTTATCTTCGAATAGGAGACAAGAATAAAGTACTAAATACTGAGTTAATTTCTGGCAAATATAGAAAATTTGCAAGGTAATTTTTTTGACTTACATAAGATTTTAATTATTTAACAGAACTCTCCTAATAACTCAGAAATACCTCTGCTTTGTAAATGCACAGTTTTGTGGAATGTTACTGGATATTCCAGGAGAAAATAATTCAAAGGTACCGAGTCTGTGAAGCGCTGAGTACTATATCATATCTTCTCTCCACCCCATTCCCAGCCATACTAGCCCACGGGGGGCCTTGAGAGGTTCTTCAGGAAACACATGCACGTGAACAGTAACACACATGTGTTTACCTTCAGCCTCACACATTCAAGCTTCTTTGACCACAGATAGCTTCCTCTAAAGGAGCCCGAGTCCCTGGGCATCTGGTCAACCAGCTCTGGTCGCTGAAGCAGTGGTGCTGAAAGTCTGTATAATTTGTAAATGCTGAAAGCATTTGTAATTTTGTTAAAAATAATAAAACATATCCCTGGTTGATAGTTTGGAGAAAGAAATTTCAGGCCAGTAGACACTTGCAGTAAATATTCTAATGGATTATACAAAAACATACCATTTTACCTGTTTTTGTCAGGAATTTTTTAAAGCACTTTTAAATTAATATTCATGTGCATGTATTTTCTGTATCCTATTTCATACAGTCCTACACGTTTATATTTTGGAACCTACAATTGCTCTAGTATTTTAAGTACAAAGATTCTTATTATCGAGGCAAGCACTAGTCCTCATGTTTTGGGAGAGGAAGGGCAGTTCAGGTAATACCAAATGCTTCCTTCAATATCTAAAAGGTGAACTTTGCAGTCCAGATATTTTTTAAAAGGGGAATTTTCTGCACATAAACAGCAAAAGACACATTTTGAATTTCGCAAATGTTCATGGGTAAATATGAAGAAATTACACAGCATTGGCCAACATCAGTATAATCTTAGGGGAAATGCTTATCAAATTCTTAAAATAACTGTTGGCAAACTTAGACAAATTGATTTATATTAATAACCTTGACTTTCGTTTTCTTAAATACATAGGGGGAATTAATCACAAGGTTTACTGGGTGGAGATGAGTTCTCAAACAGTACGTAAAGACTTTCATGTCTGCGTCCAAACAAACGTGATATATGAATAATCTCTGTAATTTGCTGTAGTTACAAAATAAGTGCTCGAGAACCACCTCCACTGCTGATTTCATCAAGGTTTGACTTTCAGCATTGATTTTTCCCTAACCTACACTCACACAGAAAACTTGCATACGGTTCCACTTTTTAATCTACACCTTTTGTTTGGATTACCCTACTCTCTCACCCTTTTTTTATTTATTATTTTTTCTTTGTTTCTCTGAAATACCCCAGTTTAATCTTCCAGGTGGCAAATCTTCCAAGACTCACTCAGCAGCCGGAGGTTATTTGTGTAGTTGCTCCTCTTTTTCAGATTTCTCTCTTCTCAGGTTGCTGGTGACGAAGTCCCTTCTCCTTGACTTTGACTGCTATTTCTTGTTTCAGATGAAGAGGAAGCCTCCCCGCCTAGCGCCCTGCCTCCAGGTTAGGATATTTCCTACCCCTCCCCTCGCTTGCACACGGACTGTTCATTGGCTGTAGGAAACGGGGGGTGCCTTGCTGCTGGTGCTCAGGGTAGGGGCACCAGGTTTTGCCTGTGCCAGCACCAAGAGGAAAATGTTGGCTTTGATGGCAATTTTTTGTTTTACATGAGATGCTTTTAAAACAGAGACTTTCTTTGTGAAATAACTAAGATGAGTGAATCTTGGGTATAAATATTAGGGGCAAAAATGTCTGTCTTCCATTTCCAGCTAAATAACTTTTTCCCCATTCTTTAAATTTAGATATTTAGATTTTTTAATTTTGTTATCATTTTGAAAGGAGGCATACATTTTTGTAGATGCTTTCATAGTTGGAGTTCTCCTAATTTTCCATCCAAGCCAACTTGTAGGTTTTTTTCTATCCATCACCAAAAGACACAGGGTTTAGGGGACCCCCAAGAAGGTTGAAGTCAGCACTCCACTTCACCATCCTCCCAGCCTCTCGCGTCATCCAAATCACGCTTTCCTTTCAGGTTTGGGTAGTCGGGCCCTGGAAAGAAAAGACTCAGGTGAGCACACGCCCAAACCAGGCATCCTGATCCCATCCTAATGCAACCACTAATGACCTCATTTTCTGAAGCTGTACTGACGCTAATCCTTGTTTTAGTCAGTTTGTAGCTTTTGTAGCAATCTTTCATTACTTTTCCTCTTACAAGAAAACTAATGTAATGAGAAACAATTAATTTTGCACGATACACACACACTCAAGAATCTGACCGTATACACCACAGGTTTGTTTTATTATAACTATCATTTTTTTTTCTTTTTTCTTTTTTTTTTTTTTGAGTCGGAGTCTCACTCTGTCGCCCAGACTGGACTGCAGTGGCCGCTCCCGGCCACCGCAGCCTCGACCCGCTGGGCTCCTGCGATCCTTCCACCTCAGCTTTCCGAGTAGCCGGAATTACAGGCATGCACTACCACGCCCGGCTGATTTTTTGATTTATTGTAGAGATGAGGTCTCGCTGCCCAGGTGGGTCTCAAACCCGCGGGCTCAGGCAATCCACTCACCTAAGCCTCCCAAAGGCGCAGGATTACAGGCTGAGCCACCGAGCCCGGCCATTTTTTTTCAACACCAAATACACAGAGATGAATCCCCATTCCTGGGATGCACTGAAGTTAGATAATGATTCATTTTTATATAATTTTACATACAGTTGGTAAAAACACTGTCAAATGCACCCTGTCCATTGTAGTTACAATCCTGTGTGGTCATTCATTCATTTATTCATTCAATATATTTGTGTCGAACTTGTGGGCTCAGGCAGTCCACTCACCTTGGCCTCCCAAAGTGCTGGGATTACAGACTGAGCCACTGAGTCCGAACTAACATATGTGTATGGAGGGCCTAACATATTCCTGTTATGAGCCTGTCTGGGCCAGCTACCGCTACAAGCACTGCAGGTATAGAAGTGAACAGAACAACAGAAAGATTTGTCCTCGTGTTCTAAATGGGAATGGTCACCACTGACTTTCTATTCATAGAATAGGCACAAACAACATAAAATTTTAACATTAACTTGGGTATTAAAAATGTGTAATCACCGGGCTCGGTGGCTCAGCCTATAATCCCGCGCCTTTGGGAGGCTGAGGTGAGTAGATTGCCTGAGCCCGTGGGTTCAAGACCCGCCTGGGCAGGCGAGACCTC